CTCGTACTTAATGGCATTGGAAAACAAAGGAATATGGATTAATTAGTCATCCAGAAAGAGTCGAAACAACTTGTACCTCCTATTATGGTTAACAAAGTGCAGGTGTAACAGGTGAGAACCTACTAACACAAAAGTTTGTAGCAAAAAACTGTATGTATGCCAAGAAACAATTTGAAACATAATCAACAAGGCTCTCCATCTGGAAAAAACATCAAAAGTCACAAGTACACAAGATGCCTCAACGACATACACATTGAACCATCAACCTCGTACAGTAAGTAGATCATGGAGAGCATGCGTGGATGATTAGTGCAGTTTGGACACTAGAGCCTCACTATGGCGCCTTTTACAATGGAGACTATGCTATAGAACAAGATGTTTAGTAAAGTTTTGTTTACGGATGAAATTAGTAACATGTTTCTAAAACCTTTTTAGTTTTGAAAAAAAAATACGTTTCGCTAGATTTATCTACCATCGTCAGGTGGATACAATTGAATGATGAAACAAGACGTTTACGTTTTATAGCATCAAAAGGGATACTCCATCGCTAGGCAACAAAGTAAAAACAAATAAAATACATGTGTTAAATAGGAGAAAATTAAAATAAATATAATTTACGCCTAACTTCTGGTGAATGCTAGGTTTGTTTGTTGTTGTTTTAATAAGGAGAGCTTATCGTTGACTATCTTCAGGTGGTGATTTGTTTTTTAGGGATGACATTGTTTAATTTATGATTGTGAGGATAAGTTCCGATTTTAACACATTTGTCTCTGTTGAAAAAAAACAACATCTGGTGACATAAGCAAATATTTTATCTCTTTGAAAGAGGTTCTTGTTGATCCCTAATGTATTTTGAATATGAACTCCACTGACTTCAGTTTCAACTATAAATATGATGTTAGGGTGGAGTATATTAAAGTCTGACATGCAAATATCGATATAATCACGTTCCTTAAAAGCTGATAAAATGTCATCTACATAATGAATTCAAAACACCGGAGGATGGAGTGAAGTGGAAATAAGTTACTCAGTTCTGGCCATGCTTAAATAATGATTTCACATGTTTAGACCATTGACCTGGTCAGAATGTATATTTTTAAATAGAAAATTTGTAAAATAAATGCAAAAATTAGATTATTTGATGATGGAAACATCTAATTAGGACCTAGGGTTGGAGTCATTTTGAAAACATTCCAGAGCACAAATAACTCCTTCAATAAACACTTGTGTGAATGACTTTTTACGTAAAAGTTGACTATAGAGGCAATCGGGTCGGAATCTTTTAGTTTTGTGATGAAAGATTCAGAGTTTTGAACAAAATAAAAACTTTAGTTATATATGGGCAAATATCCAGGAATTTTTAGAGAATATAGTTGTAAGTTTTCAATGCAGTATAGGAGCAGAAGAGCATTTGATTTATAGTAGGCTATATATTTATAGTGTACAAGAATCTGAAGGTCGTAAGAAATTCAACAAGTCATTGAAAAGTTTGTCAAACTGTACTAGAAAAGTAATTTAGTTTATGTTCTTTCTTGAATGTTAAATCAGTATCTAATTTCACAAACTGAGCCGAGTCACTTAAAATAGTGTTCATGTTACCGAATTCTCTATAGCGATCTGTGACAACAACAGAATTGCCTTTATCTGATCTTAGTAAGATAATATCTTGACCATTGTTTAGAGATTTAATTTCTTCTGGTGTTAGTGACTTTCGAGGAGAAACTGGAAGACTTGAGGTAGGATGGAAAGTGATGAAAGAATTCTCAGTAATTTTAGAAGATTGAGAAAATTAACGAGGAGGAAAATGTCACGTGACTAAGAGGAACGAGTGTTACGTGAACTATTGTCTTGATTTTCAGATGGTGGATTAAGTTTCTAATGTTCGTGAATGAAAATCTTTCTAGCTAGGTCTTCTAGTTCCGCTTTAATTTCCATTTCGGGGATTTTTTCGTTTAGGGATAATCGCAAACTTTTCACTCGTAGATGATTTTAGTTGTCAAGATGCATGCGTAGAATACGATCAGACGTGATAACTTAGGCTACAAGGTCATGGTGAGGCACTAAAGTCTTTAAATATCCAGTCTAAATACATTTTAAAATCATAATCGAAACATTCAAAATTTTACGCTTAATCATTTATATTAAATATTACGAGTGCACGTGTATGATCTTTAAAGAATACAATATAACAAACACATAGGGTTGATATATTACTAGTGCACATGCGTGAATACATGCGCACTTCAAATTTCCCACTGTTAGAAACTTCATTCAACGATTTCAAGATAAACAGCAATAGATCGGTTCTGATTTTTAAAAGTTAACAAATTCCGTTCCAAAAGGTCAGTTAAAAAAACAAGTAAACACCACCTGGCGTTATCTTTCACGTCAGAGAAATTCGGTATTAAAATATATCAAGTTTTTAATACATGAATACACTGAAATAAAATTCGTATCACGAAATTCATTACGAAATGAGAAACAAACAGACCTTTGCCAACTTGCATTTGACGAGGAGACTCTCGTTCCCAGCAGAAAACTCTCCGTTAACAATGGTTGACGGGTTACTTTTTAACCGAGCTTGTAGAAAAAACCCTTTGAATGTTTCTCCCTCAGAAGCAGAGATTGTAACTGAAATAAAAGATTGATAAATATTTGTTTCTAAAGACAATAATACACGTGCCAACACACACAAAACTAACTCCACAGACAGTTCACGCCAACACACACAAAACTAACTCCACAGACAGTTCACGCCAACACACACAAAACTAACTCCACAGACAGTTCACGCCAACACT